ATTCCTGCATCAGCTGTCAGCTCGCAGGGCAGCCAGGCTCCTGCCCCCACCTCTAGGGGGCCGCAGGGAGGTTCTGGGCTTCCAGCCCCTCACTAAGGGCTGGTGTGGGAGACACAGCTCCCCTTGGTGATTCACCAGCCAGCCATCAGTTCCCTAGGGCCAGGCCAGGTCCTGGCAGGGAAGGCACAGGAGTGGGAATCACCACAGGCTGTGTCTTCTCTTGCAGAGAAAGTTCACTCTTGTGACCAGGAGAGACAGAGCGCCCTGGAAGAGGCCCGGCAGAATCCCCGCGAGGGCATTGTCATCCCCGAGTGTGCCCCCGGGGGGCTCTATAAGCCAGTGCAGTGCCACCAATCCACTGGCTACTGCTGGTGTGTGCTGGTGGACACGGGGCGTCCGCTGCCTGGGACCTCCACACGGTAAGTCCCCCAGAGCCCGTCCTGCCCCTCACCCCTCAGGTGAAGCCTGGGGTAGGAGAGCCAGCTTCCTGTTAGGCTGTCACCTCACATCTCCTGGATTTATTGTCCTGGCCTGGTGGGAGTCGAGGCACTAGGGGAGCCGCATCTCTGCTCGTGGGCAGATGAGGTCCCAGTATCCTGGATTCTGGTCACAGGTATGGCCTTTCCTAGCTGGGCGACCTTGGGAAAGTAGGTAACCTCTCTGAACCTCAGTTCACCAGTGAGAAGGTGATTGCCCTGCCTGAGTCACTAGGTTCTATGGATCAAAAAGATCCTGTGTGCAGACATAAGGTAACAGCGCTCTACTAGACTGACTAAGATGACATGCCTGAACATGTCTCTGTGGGAACACCGATGCTGGGATTGCCTTGTAGCTGCTGGACAGTACAGTACAGGAGATATTCTGCTGCCAGCTCTGGGAGATCTAGGCTTCGAGACCACACAGATCATTGCTGGGAGTAGGAGCTGAAGTCAGCTCAGTTTCCAGCCTCTCCTCACCCCCTGCATCTCTCTCTTCTCAGCTACGTGATGCCCAGTTGTGAGAGCGACGCCAGGGCCAAGAGTGTGGAGGTGGACGACCCCTTCAAGGACAGGGAGCTGCCAGGTGGGAGACGACACTACCCCTTGCTGGTGCCTTCACCTCTTCCTGTTCCTCCAGCCCCTCATCATGCAGAAGCAGAGCCCTCCTCCGGGTCTGCTTCCCCATCTGTAAGGTGGAGCGGGGACGCTGGGCAGGGGCATCACAGGAGCCATGGGATCTGCATCCAGTCTGGGATTTGTTCCTAATTAGTCCTGTGCTCTTGAGCACACTGTTTCTCCTCCTTGCTTTTACCTTTTTATCTTTAAAATGTAGTCACTGGGTTAAAATCCTACCCTTGAAAGCTCTGCAGTTCTTTCTCTAAGGGTGACTGGGAAAATGATCTGGGGGCTGTGGACCCTTTTCCCCAGGGCTGCAAAGAGAAGATAGCTCACAGGGAAAGGCTGTCCTGAGGGGCAATGATTCCTGGTGGCCCAGAACTGTCACTGGGGTATGACACAAGACTCACAGGCAGGGACCCAGGACCTCTAAATGACTGCTGGGTGGGGTTTCCCTTATTTATAGCATTCTCTGCCAGTGAGTTACAATAAGTACTAAATATTGATGGCGCAGAACACTGTAGTCTTAATCAGCACAGATGCAGGTCAGCGCTGGTGGGAGCTGGGCCTACTGTTCCCCATCAGGACTCCAAAGGAGGACTGAAAACAGAGGCTCCTGAGAGCCTAGGGGTTCCCAAGTGAGGTTTGTAGGTCACTCTGTCATGAGAATGGAGTCGTAGAGACCAGGGTCCCTCCTCCTAGCCGTCTCTTCAACAAATGTCCATTGAGATTCCCCTATGTGCCAGGCGCTGGGTTTGTCTAATGTTCAAAACCAAAGTGAAGCTTGTCTAGTGGGGGAGACAGTATACAAATAAGTGAATCCAAACACAGATAAAAGGTGGCGACAGGTACTCTGAAGGCAAAGAGTGAGGTGCTGGGAGGACAGGAAGAATCTGTGGCTTCTCTGGGAAGGTAGCATTTAACCGGAGGCCTAGGGGGTTTGCAGAGAGCAGAGAATGAAATAGTTGCGGCAGAGAGGAGGATTGTACGTAGTGTTGAGGGCCCATTTGGGGCTGGTAGTCATGAATTTGCAGGAAAACCGTCTCTCCAGTTGCGTGGTGGTGTTTACGCTATGGCACTATTCAGCCATGGGGGTGTAGACTTGGAGAAGGCACATGGGTGAGAAGGTTCATCCATGCTTGGGGTTTTGCTGGAATCACACAGTGAGGAACAGAGAAACAAAGGGTTTGAGGGTACTTATAAGGGAGGGTTGGTGATTATAATCTAAGCTGGATGAGGAGAGATGTGAAAAAAGGTGGAGGTTCTTGGATAGGTAAACAGGTAGATCTACTTGAGTCAACTTTGACCTTGGAGTTCTCTGCATTCCTTGTGCCCCTTCAGCGCCTGGTCCTTGCTGCTAGAGTCGCTCCGTCCTCCTGTACCAGAGCTACCTTGAGTTCCCCAGTAGACCACGAACTTTACGAGGAGGAGAAACGTGTGTATAATATCCCTAACGTTTAGCATATAGCGCCTGAGTTGATACTCGGCGTAAATTTGAGGAGTGGAAGAACATTGAGAGCATTATTATCCATTTGGTCTGTTGGTCCCTTGCGGGCTGTGGGTAGAGGAACTATGGAGGTTTATGAGAATCATCTGAGCCGTGGACAATTCCCAAAGTGGATTTAGCTGGACAAGAAGGACTTGGAGAGGTTGAGGAAACAGTGGTAGTTGAGGAAGCTGTTTCCTTGATCATTTACCTGCATCTGCCTTCAAGTCTCACTTTGTCTTTCAGGCTGTCCAGAGGGGAAGAAAATGGAATTTATCACCAGCCTACTGGATGCTCTCACCACTGATATGGTGCAGGCCATTAACTCAGCAGCACCCACTGGAGGTGGGAGGTGAGAATGCGAGCGGGACTCAGGCCCAGTGGGACCACGGGGCCCCTGACTTTTCAGATGCTGCAGGTCCCTGGGAGAGTGGGGAGGGGTGGGTAGAACAAGAGCTGGAAGTTGATCCTCTTCCTGAAACCGTGTAGCTGTGACTTTGTCTCACCTTCCACCCAAAGTCTTGCCGCCCCTCTCCCCTTTCTAGTCTTTGGGAGTTGCTTTTCTCTAGCTTGTAGTTACCTGATTATAGGCAAGTCCGGGAGTGTCTGGAGACTTCCAGCACTTCAGTCTCAGAAATGGATGCATTGGAGTGAGTCCAGAATGGCAGGAAGGGGGATGGGCATACGATGGGAACAGGGATGGCAGGGAGGGAGTCCAGAGCATTTGGTGGTTTTCTTCTTTTCTGAGAAGGCAGGAGCCTCGTGCCATTTTGGCTTCCTGAGAATCCCAAGGGACTCTGGGCAGTGGGATTGGACACTGCCATAGCCAAATCCAACTTAGTTCAGGAGCTGATACGCTGGCCGAGGCAGTCCTGACCCGAGGCCGAAACGTACACGATCCCCAGCGACCAGCATCGCCGGCACGCACTAATTTGGGCCCATCGGGTCAGTTGATCGGAGCACGCATGTATTCATCTGTCCTCTGCTCAGCACTATTGAACGTGCATGGCACGTCAAGCACTGGGCTAAGGATTGGGAATCCAAGGATGCGAGGCATGTCCCTGCCTTCAAAGAATGCAGCCTAATGGGGATACTAGGCTGTAGAAAGATACAAACTGTGTAGTAAGTGCTAGAACCGAGATGAAAGAACAGAGAAGCGTTTGCTAATTTAGTCTGGAGGAGTCAGAGAAGGCTTCCTGGAGGAGGTGATACTGAGTTTTGAAGGATAGGTAGGACTCAGCTAGTAAAAGAAGGAAAACCATTCCAGGAAAAAGGAAAGAACATTGTGACCCCAGGAAAGTGCACGTCCGTAGTTCAAGTATGGCTGAGCTGGGGTGGATGGAGGAGGGGGTGGAGGAGATGACAGTGGTGGTAGATGACACAGAGGATGCAGGTCCCAAAGGGCCTGTGAGATGTGCTTCCCATTATGAAGCCAGAGCGGGAGGCACGGCAGGAGTAGGGAGAGCTCTGGCTCCTTAGCAACGGGAAGTACCATGTGCTTGGCAGCGATGGGCAGCCTGACTCTCAGCTTACGTGGCTCACCAAGGAGGGAGCGCTAGTCCCTCCGCATCTCCCCCAGAGGCAGAGCTGTCAGAGGGCAAGGAGTGCCACCACGAGACAGGCCCAGGCCCCCAGGCTGGTGGAAGGGCCCCAGCGTGACTGCCTCAGCAGCCATCAGCACAACCGCAGGGCGTGTATCTGGGGTGGGCACCAGGACTCCCAACACAGCTGTCAGTGGTTCTGTGTCCCGAGGCAGACAAGGGCAGCAGTCCTGAAAACCCACTTTTATGTCACATCACAGTGAGTGCAGTAGCTGCCTTGTGGGTTGCCACTCTAGGAAACTGCTTGTCCAGGGAGCTTGCTCTCAGCAACCCCCATGGTCCTGTGAGCTCTGAGGCTGGTTTCTGGCCCTGCTCTGTTTTGCTCACCCTGTGGAAGGGTCCAGGTCTCCCCTGGGAGGAGCACAGCAATAAGTCTGAAAACATGGAGACAGGGTCTGACAGGTCGGCAGATGAGAACTGCCCAGAGGCAGCCCACGGTGCTCAGCTACTGGAAGTCTAAAATAGAGAGGGCTGTGTCCGAATCGCCAGGAAGAGGGAGAGGAAATTATGAAAAAGCATATTCAGTATTATATGCCTTTTTGTTATTTATGCTTGGAATGTGAAAACATACCTGTTGTTTCATGCAGAAATGGGTATGAGCTATTTATGGCTTTTAGAAGAGAGGGAAAAAAGAAACGAGAAAGGGGCATGGCCTTAACAATTCCAGGTCTGGGTGCTTTCCACCCACAAATCCCCAGGGCTGCTGGCTCTGACCCACTGCTCAGGGAGCCTGCCTGGTGCTTCTGCTTGGGTTCTAAGGAGACAGGACTTCACCCTCCATCCCATTTGCTTCTGCGGGAGCCCAGCCCTTGAGCCCCGCCTGGCCTCGGATCCAGGCAGCCTTCAGTGCCAGGGAAAGGACCAAACCCAGCTAGGTCCTGGGCCGGGGGCCCAAAATCACAGGTGGGCCCGCTGCCAGGGCAAGTTTGGATGGACGCTTGACCCTCAGATTGCAGGCTGAAGAAATTTTTACAGAAATTAAAAACTAAGAATTTCATAAATGCTTTTAATCCCAGTGTGTCATTAGGGAAGGGAGTTTTTGTTGCTGTGGTTTCCAAAAAAACCTCTTTTAGGTATAATATAATGTTGGGAGAAATTTAAAAAAAAAATTCTTTCCTAAACATGTTTTTCATTTCAAGCTCATGTGAGCCTGACCGTGTTTGGTTTTGATGAGAATGAAAGGTTTGAATTGGCATTTGGTAATTGTGTTACCTGGAGGCTAGACTTGTAATCAAAAGACAGACAAGATGTATCAAGAAATAGTTTAGAAATCAAGGAAGCGGGAGTGGGCCTGCGGAGAGAAGGAGAAAGAATCAGTTATGCAGGGAGGTGGCTGGCCAGGGTTACCGGTTTTACTGAGTTTAAATCCCTCTCAGGTCTCCCTAATATATTTTGAAAAAGCAAAGCCCGAACTCTGACCACGAACTGGCCGAGCAGGATGGTCTTGCTGGCGCTCACCCTCCTCTCATATGCCACTCCCTCCTGTCATTATGTCCCAGCCACTTGGTCCTTCTCAGGTCCTCAAACAGGCCAAGCTCTTGCCTGCCCCAGGGCCTCCAAGCCAGGTGCTCCTTCAGCCTGGAATGTGAGTCCCCCATCCTCCCGTGACTGGCCCCGCTGCTCCATTTAAATATCATCTTCTCAATGACCATCCAAACTAAAGGAGCAGCCCTGTCACCCTCTATCACAACACCACTTTTTTTTTTTTTTTTTGCGGTACGCGGGCCTCTCACTGTTGTGGCCTCTCCTGTTGTGGAGCACAGGCTCTGGACGCGCAGGCTCAGCGGCCGTGGCTCACGGGCCCAGCCGCCCCGCGGCACGTGGGATCTTCCCAGACCGGGGTACGAACCCGTGTCCCCTGCATCGGCAGGCGGACTCCCAACCACTGCGCCACCAGGGAAGCCCACAACACCGCTTTTTAATTCTCAGCCTAGTGCTTATCCCTATCTGATATTTTGCTGGTTTATTTATTTGTATCTGTCTCCGCTACCCAATGAAAATTGAACTCAATGAGGGAAGGAACGTTTTCTGCCTTCTTCCCTCCTGTATTCCTAGAACTCAGGATAGTGCCTGGCACACAGTAGGTGCTCAGTAAATATTTGTTAAATGAATAAATAGCCAGAAGGATGGGTGGATAGATGGATGGATCCCTGTTAGATACAGAGAGGGATGTCTCAATAAGGCCTCTTTTTCTTGGCACACGTCAGAGGCTCCAGCAACCACTTCAAGACTAATTATGAGGCCAGATCTAGCCCTGAAGTTCACTGTAATGCTTCTTTGTCACCAGGGCCTTACAGCGCCCTGGCTGGGACCAAGGGACTTGGGCACCATGTGGACAGCCCCTGGTCAGGCACCCTTCTACAGTGGAAGAGCCAAGGCACAGGGCAGCACATCTGGAGCAGGGCTGGCAAAGAGAATTATGGAATCCAGGGTCCCTGGGTTTGGGCCTTGGCTCTGAATTCAGGTAGAATTGAAGTTGCAAGCGCAAGGTCAAAGAAACCACAGCTGATCCCTCCTGCGTCCTCTCAGGGTCTGGCAATTAAAACTGGACACCAGCTGGGGCCAGCGGGAAACAGTCCCATTTGGGGACAGTGGGAAGAAGGGACAGGGAGGATGTTTGGGCTGAGCAGAAAAGAGGGTGTCTTCCCCCCAAACCACCACCTGTCAGGCTTGGAGATTTTAGCTTTGCACAAACTCTTACATCTTACCCGTGGCATAAGCTCTGTGCTGGGTTCTGGGGACATACAGGGATGAGGGCATGGTTCCGGGCTGGAGGAGGTCCTGGGAGAAGAGCTATGTAATCACGTGAGTGCGCTGTAAAGCCAATGTGACAACAGAGGCAGATGAAGTCCTGCAGGGACTCAGGGGAGGGAGGGCGTGTGAGAGAAGGCTTTCCACAGGAGGTGACATTTAAGCCACATCTTCACTTACGAGTGAGAAAATGCCCCGACCTAGATGGACCAGGAATAAGGGTATCCCAGCAGAGGGACCGTAGGGATAGCGAGGTATGAACGAGGTAGGGTCTGTGGAAGGAATTGTGAGGAGTAAGGTTTAAGCTTGGGAGGCAGGCTGTGGACAGGCGGGAGATGAGGCTGTGGAGCTGGGCAGAGCCCAGATCATGCTGGGTCTTGTGATTCGTGCCAGAG